GTTCTACTTAACTACTGTCTAGCCATCTATTTTCACTTGACTAACCCACTGTCATCTCAAACTCAAGATACCCAAATTTAAGTCCAGCTGTTTAGATCTCTCCAAACAGCTACTAATACTTACATTCTTATCTCTGTCAGTACTGCCATTTAAAAAATTCTAGTTCTTTCTTTGTCACTAACTGGCTGAGTAACTTTGAACACACTTTTAAATCTCTCTGGGCATCGGATTCCTAATGCACAAAATCGATGGACTAGCCCAGATGTTCTCAGATGTCTTGGCATTCCAACAGTCTTCAATTTCTTACGTCATTGTGGGTCAAAACTTCAAAGTCATCTTTGATTACTCTTCCTCCCCCTTACACCACCACCACATGCTCCCTTCCTATCCAGTCTATAATGAAGTCTTATGCGACATCTCTCGAGTCCTGTTTTCACTAAATCCACACACCAGGCCTAGATTATTTTCCCAGCTCTATCACTTCTCTTTCCAATTCATACACAGCACTGGTACCACAGTTTTTCCTAAAATACTCCTTTAGCATGCTCTTTCTCAATCCAAACTTTTAAAGTTTCTCTGTTACCTATGGAGCAACGTACATTCTTCCCATCCTAGCACTTAAAGGCATCCATAATCTAATTCCAATCTCTATTACCAACCTGATTTCTTACTACCCTACCATACAAACCTTCATTTCAAATTGTTTTATGTACTGTTCTCTGAAAATGTCATGCATATTTTGCTTCTCTTTACCACTTGTACAAGGTCCTTCCTCTTATGCAAAATAAAATCATGCCAAGTTTTGATTTTACCTCCTCTCTGGAGCCTTCCCTGCTCACTTCAACTCTAAGTCGTCTCAAATATCCATAATTTTTATTATTTACCTTATCTTCCAAATTACATTTTAAGTTCTCAATGAAAGGAACCTATTTTATATCTTTCTGCATCTCTTTGGACATAACAAAGTACCTTCTACATTGCAGATATTAATAAATATTTGTGTGGTGACTGACTAAAGCTCCTTTCTAATACACAGCACTTACTGAAAGCTCCTCATGTGTTCAGCACTCCATGTATGTGTTCCTCAAAGAATATACAACCAACAAGAAAAGATAAGGTTAACACTAGGGAAATAATTATCAAACTACCAAATCAGGATATATAAATAAACTACGTGAAGATCCTCTGTGACTTAAAAGAACAGCAGAAATATAGAAAGGAAAAAGCAGTATGTAGTGAGAAACAGTTTCAGAAATGAGGAAGAATTTTAACTGAGAGTATAGCCATAGTAATTGTAGTAATAATAATGATGATTATTAATAATTAATAAATTAATAATTACAATAATAACTAAAACTTAAGGTGTGCTTAATGTGCCAGACACCAGTCTTAAAGACTTTTCATTTATTAATTCACTTCATTCTAATCACAACCCTATGGAAAAAGTACTACAGTCATCCTCAAGTTTTCAGATGAGATTGAGGCCCTACTTTGTTATGGAATAGTGAGTGTACAAAAACAGAACTGGGCTAGGTGGAAAAAGGATGGAAAACATAAATGGAAGTTAAAAGCTGAAATAAGCATAACTATTATCAGAAAATGTAGAAAGTGGCTTGAAAGACTACAGCAGAGAATGCTCATCGAGGTTCCTTAAAGACCAAATAAATAGGGCAGGGAATAATGACCAAGTCTCCTGAGAGCCAAGAAGAGAAAGTTAAATTTAACAGGTAGAGTGTGTGAAGCCACTGAAGATCTGGGGACAAAAGAATGCCACAATAAGGAATATTAGTGACATTTTTATTGTGGATAAACAGAAGAAAGAGATGCTGGATTCTGAGAGGCTGATATGACTTTCAATATTCTAGGCTGAGGAAATAAGTCCTGGTGGTAAAGTAGGTAAGCAGAGCTATGAGGGAGAAAAGAAATATGGACAGGACATGTTGAATGGGTTAACACAAGAGGTGAATGAAAGAGGTAAAGATGATACCTAATTTATTATTTTTTAAAGATTTTATCTATTTATTTGACAGAAGGAGAGCATACAAGCAGGGGGAGTGGCAGGCAGAGGGAGAGGGAGAAGTGGGCTCTCTGCTGAGCAGGGAGCCTGATATGGGACTTGATCCCAGGACCCTGGGATCATGACCTGAGCTGAAGGGAGACACTTAGCTGACTGAGCCACCCAGGCATCCCAGATGATACCTAATTTAAATCTATATGATCAGGAGAGAAGGAAATTCTAAAGGGGTATAAAAATGATGATTTTTCATTTGGGGCATGGTGAGTTTAAGGAGACATTCAAAATACTAGAAAAGTAGGCCTGGAATAACCAGGAAGTGACCAGAATAACAAATGAGCAACAGAATTTGGTTTTGTTTGTTTAAGATTTTATTTATTTATTTGACAGAGAAACACCAGTGAGAGAGGAAACACAAGCAGGGGGTGTGGGAGAGGGAGAAGCAGGCTTCCAGCTGAGCAGGGAGCCCAATGCCGGGCTAGATCCCAGAACTCTGGGATCGTGACCTGAGCCCAAAGCAGGTGCTTAACAACTGCGCCACTCAGGTGCCCCAGCAACAGAATTTGTTTTAAAATGAAAGAACTAGGGGCGCTTGGGTGGCTCAGTTGGTTAAGCGTCTGCCTTCTGCTCAGGTCATGATCCCGGGGTTCTGGGATAGAGTCCTGCATCTGGCTCCCTGCTCAGCAGGGAGCCCACTTCTGCCCTGCCTGCCACTCCCCCTGCTTGTGCGCATGTGCGCTCGCGTGCACACTCTCTCTCTCACGCTTGCGCTCTCTCACTCTCTGTGCCAAACAAATAAAATCTTTTAAAAAATTAAAATAAAATGAAAGAACTAGGCAGATGTTATAAAGATATTAAATAGGAGAGGAAATATACTAAGCCATGATCAGCTGGTACTGGCTTTGCATCAATAATTTTATCAATAATTATATCAATGCTTCTGGTGGGGACAGGAATCAGTTAGTGACCAACATTTAAAAAAATGCAGTTTTTCCATTTAAAAAAATTTTGTTCATATCAGAAAAGTCAACCAAAAGCTAAGGCAAGGGTTCCCAAACTTTCTCCATTCAGGGAATTCTTAGTTTTAGTAATATTTTCACAGCACTCCTGTGAGTGGTGTGAATACCCGAGTAGGTGAATTCAAGCTACTTAATATCCTTACAACTTAGTTCTTGTCCGGCCTTGTACAACTTCTTGGAATCAAACTGAACAACATCACACTCTCATTTCCTGTATCACACTGATCCTCATACAGTAGTTGCTTTTTATCAGAACAACTTCTTAAAAAAAACAGCTTTCAAAGACATGGCATTGTAGAAAAGAATGTGTCAATTTAACGTTGAAACTGTGAACTACCTCAAACTAATAGTTCCAAGCCTGAGTTCACTGCTTCTCTTGGGCACCTCAGCACACAGTTTGGGAAACTGGGAGCAAAGGCAAAGGGCCTAAAAAGAGGGAAAACAAAATCTAAGAGGGGAGGAGCAGAAGAAAGTTCTTAGCACAGCTAACCACAAGGGGGCAGCACAATAGTTGGTAGAGGCCACACAATGGTGGAGGGAGGGGTGTCAAGTAGAGATAAGAGTGGAACCTTCCCATAAAAAGGCTCTAAGAAGACCGAGTTGACCAGTTCAAGAACTGTAAGTGCTTTTTCTCCTTCTACTGAAGAGGAAGAATCACTGGTCCCTGGCAGACCACCTCGTGCAGAGTGATATTGCCCTTCTCTAAATCTCCTTTGCCTGCCCGACCCATGATAGTAGCCAAGGCTTCAACAGTAGCCAAGCATTCCCCTGCACAATCTTACTGATCCTCACAGCAACCTTTTAAGAAAAGCGGGGCTCAAAGACATTTTAAATAATACGACTATCAAGGGGCAGGAACACCAGGATTCAAACCCAGATCTGACTAATGTGCTTCCCTAGTCTGCCTCAAAAGCATCCCACCTTTCAGCGACAGCCAGGTGAAGTAGAGAAAAGACATCATGATCCCTTCCCATAACTGAGACACCTGTCTCTGTCACTAGGAAAACCCACTATACAAAACAAACCATTGTTTCCTTTCATTTTAATTTTAACATGCTATGAACTCCAAACACAGGACATTCAGTTCAAGCAAAAACAAAGCTTCACACTCTCATGTAGTCAGCAAATACCGTAACTTTCCTCTACAGGTAAGTACATGTACTATTAAGGCAAGAGTTGGACACATCCAGTTTGCGGGTATGTTTCTCTAACAGACATGTTGCACGTGCAAGCTAGTGATTTCCACACTCGTGATAAAAGGTGAGTGGGGTGGGGAAAGACAGGTCTTCAAATGTGCTGGGTGTTGCACAGAATATCTGCATTAGCAACGACTCACTTGTACAACCTATTAAGAAACCAAAAGCAATTGTCATCTCTCTTATTCCCACTTCTAGTTTCCTTCTCCACAATTTCTCCTTCCCTCTATGACATACTCAGCCGCTTCTGTCCTTTCATTCAAAGAAAAGGAGTCTCTCCTGACTGATTAACCACCACCGGAAAGCAAACTGGGTAAATTCAACCGACACAGCAAACTTGGGCAGATAAAACCACCCAGGAAGCACTCAGCGTGGTAGCAGAAACCCCAGCAAGAACAGCTAACGTGTTCTCTCACTTGGTATCCCTTATTCCTTCAAAACGTTCCTCCTTGAAAGATTAACAATCTCTGGCTGCTCGAGGAGAAAGAGTAACTGGCAACGCTTCTTCTGCAAAGCCTTATTACTTGTATGATCGGAGGAGAAAGAAGCAGCGGTATCTCTTAAAGGATCCGAGAGGGCAACAGTAAACACCCCGGAATCGCCCTCCCGGACCAACATTCTAAGTTCAGCGCTGCCATTTTCAGAAGGCTAAACCACAAGGAGCCCGGCCTGTCTAAACACGCTCCCGGCCGTCCTACGCATGCACTCCCGGTTCCCCACACTCGCCTTCCCCGCCACCGCACAGCCCAGCCGCCAGGATCGCAAACCCACCTTCGCGAGAAGGGGAGGAAGGGCCTTTTTCTTCAGAAGCGCAACGGTTCACATCTTGATCCCTCGCCAGGTTCTGAAACCTAAAAAAAAGAAGCAACCGTTATTACCGCAGAAATCCAGGGGAAATAGATGCTCTCCCCTAGGCCATTCCGACGTCTAGAACATTTTAAAGAGCAGTAAGGGGAGAGGGAAGGCGGATACGAGGCACTCAGGGATGCAAAGAGCCAACAGCGAAACACGCCGCTGCCGGCTTCCTCTCCCAAAAGGAAGGCTTTTTGCCGAGAAGTTTACTGCCCTAGGAGGGGCAGAGCGGCGGTCAGAGGGTGGGAGGGAGGTGTACCGACGCCCGCTGCCCCCACCCAGAGGCCAAGCAGCGATCGCACGCACCAGCTGCACCGATCCCGCGGCGAGGAGCGCCCCCAGGCCCGCAGGGACTGCTTCGACCCGGCGCCCGCGGCGGGCCGAGATCTGCGGAGCCCCCGGCGTGGGCAGGGGTCCAGGCGTCCGCCAGGCTGGGCCCTCCCGGGCCCTCCCGCGCTGAGTCGGCTCCCACTCACATCCCTGGGCGGCGAGCCCCGGGCCTGTCCCCGCGCGGCCGCAGCAGCTCTCCGCCCCGATGCGCGGCGCGAGTCCGGGCCCGGGGGCCGAGCGGCCGAGGCGGCGGCACCAACTCCCGAGCGCGCCGGGCGCCGGCCCAGCCTGTCAGAGCTTAGAGAAGCGGTTGGCCGCGGCCGCCGCTACCCCCTCCGGCTTCTCTTCCTCTCTCCTTCCTCCAGCTCACACCACTTCCACTTTGGGCAGCCAGGAAGCCTGTCGTCACAGGCGTCGTCTCCGCCCTCTCCCGGGCCACCCCGTCTTCTCAGTGCCTCAGGCGACACTGGCTCGGAAGCTCTATTTGCGCCGGCGTCAGCCTCCTCTCAGGCGGACAGTTCGCTGCTGACTGAGACAGAACCGCCGGACGGGCGGGGGCGGGGGCGGGGGCGGGACCCAACCGCGCACCTCCTCCCCCGACTGCGCGTGCGCGCGTGCGCGCGTGCGCCAAGCCGCCGCGCTGCCCTTCTCCTGGCGCGCGCACGCGAGCGCCGTAGGCCTGGCAGAGGCAGGTCGCGCACAACCTGGGCTTCTCGGGAAGTTGGCGGGAGCGCGCGGAGAGTCCCGGGCCGTCCCCTGGGAGAACAGGCGTGGGAAATGGAGCCAGAGCTGGCTACCCGGGCCCCACAGCCCCCAGGAGCCCGGCGCTGGGCCTGGCCCTCCCCCAGACGGGCGTGTGTGTGGCCGCCGCCCGCCGTGGAGGCGGCTGGGAATGAGTCAGCCCCGTCGGGAAGGCGACCCCTGCACGCAGCCTGGCACCACAGCGCCATCCTCCCGTGCCCTGGTGTTGGTTCCCCTTCTGCTTTCGCTTCCACGTTCCGCGTCCGGCAAACCTGTCCTTCCCCAGTCCAGGCCTCTAGGCCGAGGGGAAGTGGCACCGAGGGTTGGGGCAACATTCACAGGCACTGTTTAGTGCAGGTGCAATCCCGAGCGCCTGGCTCCAATCCAAGAAAAGGATGAGGGTGGAACGAGGCGCCCAGCTGCTTGCCGATTGGCGACAAGACCCAGCGAATGAGGAGAAAGAGCCCACCGCCTCCCAAAAGCCCCACTGATTCGTTCAACGAATATTCGCATAGCATCTACCAGGTGCTGGGCTGCAAGGGCTCCAAGGATGCTGCTATGTAATTGCAACCCGCATTCTACTTGCTCTACTGGAGCATATATTCGGATAAAAGTGACGAATATACTTTGTATCATATACCAGGATATAATTGCACCTAAGAAAAATAATACAAAGTAAAGGAATAGAAAGTGAGGAAGCAGTGTGCTATTTTAGTGAGGGTGGCCAGGAGAGACCTCCCAGAATAAGTGACATCTGAGCAGAGATGCGAAGGATGAAAATGAGCCAGTCGTGTGACTACATGGGAAGAGAGTTTCAGGCGGAGGGACTAGCAAAGGCAAAGACCCTGAAAAAGGAATGGGCTTGACAAGTTCAAGGACCAGAAAAGAGGTCAATGTGGTTGGAGGACAGTGAAGGAGAGGGCAGTGGAAAGAGATGAGTCCAAAGGAGTAGCCTGGAACCCAACTATGTATGGTCTTTCTCACTTATTAGCCCTCTTTCTCTCTGAAACATTTGATGCATTTATACCTGTTTCTCCATTCACAAATGATGCTGAGATTCAGGTCTAACTTGAATTTAATGATTTCTTTAAATCAACTCACCAATGCAACTCTTGCATTCCTTCTTACATAAGACCCATTGCAAAAGGTCTTTGAGCAGATGATAGCAGGATAGGAAATGACTTGAATTCATACTGACTCCTTCAAAGTAAATAGTGAACTACAGCTCTTGTTTTCTCATAAGAGGGAGGGATTTACGTTTTCTCATAAGAGGGAGGGAGAATTGCGTTCCTATGGCTACTGTTTTACAAGCAAAATATGCTGGAGAGTCCTTATTTTTAATATCTAAAAAGGAATCAAAAATAATTGTGAGTCGATGGCAAATCTAAAATCTGCTTAGAATATAAAGGCCAAGATCACAAGCAGCAACCACCATGCAAGTTCCCTTTTCCTGAAAATGAAAACTGTTACTGGAGTAGAAACCAGAACACAGACCCACACAAAAAAGATAAAATGACAGAGTTGTCCTTCATGTCACAGCTAAGATTAAAATCATCTACCTGAATTGTGGAAATGGAAACATTCGCTTTTGTGAGAAAAAAAAAAATGCCTGCTTTATGAACTCTGAAACAGTGCAGAGGTATTCACTGCAATGAGCAATATTTCTATATTTTATAATACTTATTTATTCAACCAGACATGGTGCCTGTTACCAGCCACTGCCTGTTTGCAGGAAGGAAAAAGTGAATATTCAGAATTCCTTGTGGGGGAAGGTGTGGTGTCTAAATGGGTGTCTCTTGATAGGATGGGAGCCCCGAAATGCAGGGTGAAGATCAGGTGGGATCCAGGGGGCACAGGAGGCGAAAGAGTTCACCCAAGGCAGAACAAAGGAGATAGAAGTTTATCAAATACACAGAAAGGGAGCTGTGCGCAGGACAGCCATGGAGGGGCTGTCTGCACCAGGTAGTGGGTGGGGGCCATTTTTCAAAGAGGGAAGATTAAGAGGTATGGCAACATATGGAATTCTCCTTTTCTTGGTAATTGTGCCTACATGTAAATAGCCTATAGGTCAGTTAGGGCCTCTGGCTATTTTGGACCTTCTCTACATTCCATTGCTCAATCCTGTTTGCCAGAAAGCAGCCTCTACAAAGGGACTTTTTTTTTTTTAATAAAAGTGATTTGGATATGGAAGACAGGTGGACTGAAAAGAAAAGAAAAATTCTTGGGTTTATAGAATTGAGAAATTTATCTGCCTGCCCAGAGAGATAAAGTGACTTGTTTAGGGTCATTCAGAGAGTGGAAGCCTCTCTTCTCACTAAGACAGTATGATTTTTAAGTCAATATTCCCCTCTAATGTTGAGCTCTTTTCACCCTGTAGAGAATTTTTTAGCTCTTTATGTGATCCCTGGTAGTGGCATAGCTAGACAGTTGCTCCCAGGGCAAACATTTCAGAAAGATACCCCTATTTTTGATAAGGATAAAAAAGAATTCCAAGAGAGCAATTTTTTTTTTTTTCTATTAGAGAAAGAGTGTGGGGCAGTGGGGCAGAGGGAGTGGAAGAGAATCTTAAGAAGGTTCCATGCCCGGTGCAGAGCTTGACATGGGGCTGGATCCCATAACCCCAAGATCATGGTCTGAGTTGAAATCAAGAGCTGGAGGCTTAACCAACTGAGACACTCAGGTGCCCCCCAAGAGAACAAATTTTACCAAGTCTTTCATGACATTCTTTCACATACTATGAGAAAGAAGAAATGTGGGTTGGAGGATTTATTTAGATTCAAAACTGATTATATGGCCAGATCTAAAAGTAAAAATTAGCAGCTAATTGTCACCTTTATGGGGCAGTGTGTGGCACCCACTAAGATCCTGTCCTTCCACTGCAGCAGAACATGGCAGCAGTGGGTCTCGCTACTGCTCTCCAAACCACCTCCACAGCGAGACTGTGACAATGTTGTCAGATGGGGTTTTGGCTATTGTGTCTCTGTAAAGTTCTTAGGTGGTTTTGATGCAAAGGCAAGGTTGAAAAGACGTGGCCAAGGGTTTAAGAACTTAAGCTTGAGAGTCTGGCAGACCCAGGTTTGAATCCCAGCCTTCACCAAGGATGTCATTTAGATTTTCTAAGCTTCCATTTCCTCATCACTATAATAGGGATAGTAATATCTTCCTTGAGACATCTGGAAGATTAGATGAAAAAGTATTTTTAAACCCTTAGCACAGCTATTAAATGCGTATTATAGTTGTGGTAAGGTCAATTTACAGATATCAGCAGGCTGGGAGGTATGAGAACTATGTTGGATTTTATTAGTAATCCTGAAGCATTTGTCACAATCTATCACATTCCACAGAACTGTGTGGGCTGTAATGATAAGGACCGAGTTTTAACAGAGATAAATGCAAAGACTTACATTTGGGCTTTTTCACAATGGGTTTGTTGCCAGAACACAGGTGTCGTGAAAACCACTGCTCAACCTAAACCAAAAGGGGAAAGAAAAGACTCGCATTAACATCGTCATCATTGGACACATAGATTCGGGCAAGTCTACTACACTGGCCATCTGATCTACAAATGTGGTGAGATCGACAAAAGAACTATCAAAAAATCTGAGAAGGAGGCTGCTGAGATGGGAAAGGGTTCCTTCAAGTATGCCTGGGTCTTGGATAAACTGAAAGCTGAACATGAACATGGTATCACCATTGCTATCTGCCTGTACAAATTTGAGACCAGCAAGTACTATGTGACCATCATTGATGCCCCAGGACATAGAGACTTTATTGAAAACATGATAACAGGCACATCTCAGGCTAACTGTGCTGTCCTGATTGTCACTGCTGGTGCTGGTGAATTTGAAGCAGGTATCTCCAAGAACAGGCAGACCCATGAGCATGCCCTTCTGGCTTACACACCGGATGTAAAACAGCTAATTGTTGGTGTTAACAAAATGGATTCCATTGAGTCACTCTACAGCCAGAAGAGATACAAGGAAATTGTAAAGGAAGTCAGCATCTACATTTAGAAAATTGGCTACAACCCTGACACAGTAGCATTTATGCCAGATTGTGATTTGAATGGTGACAACATGCTGGGGCCAAGTGCTAACATGCCTTGGTTCAAGGGATGGAAAGTCACCCGTAAAGACAGGAACGCCAGTGGAAGCAACGCTGCTTGAAACTCTGGATTGCATCTGCCACCAACTCATCCAACTGACAAGCCCTTGTGTCTGCCTCTCCAGGACGTCTACAAAATTGGTGGTATTGGTACTGTCCCTGTGGGCCGAGCGGAGACTGGTGTTCTTAAGCCTGGCATGGTGGTCAACTTTGCTCCAGTCAATGTTACAACTGAAGTAAAGTCCACTGAAATGCACCATGAAGCTCTCAGTGAGGCTCTTCCTGGGGACAACATGGGCTTCAATGTCAAGAACATATCTGCCAGAGATGTTTGTTGTGGCAATCTGGCTGGTGACAGCAAAAATGATCCACCAATGGAAGAAGCTGGCTTCATGGCTCAGGAGATTATCCTGAACCATCCAGGCCAAATCAGTGCTGGGGATGTACCTGTGCTGGATTGTCACACAGCTCACATTGCTCGCAAGTTTGCTGAGCTGAAGGAGAAGATAGATTGTCATTCTGGAATAAAGCTGGAAGATGGTCCCAAGTTCTTGAAATCTGGTGGTGCCGCCATTGTTGATAAGGTTTCTGGAAAGCCTGTGTGTGATGAGACCTTCTCTGACTATCCTCCTCTAGTCCGTTTTGCTGTCCATGACATGAGACAGACGGTTGCTGTAGGTGTCATCAAAGCAGTGGAAAAGAAGGCAGCTGGAGCTGGAAAGGTCACCAAGTCTGTCCAGAAAGCTCAGAAGGCTAAATGAATATTATCCCCAATACTTGCCAACCTCATCTTAATCAGTGGTGGAAGAACAGTCTCAGAACTGTTTGTGTCAACTGGCCATTTAATTTTAATAGTAAAAGACTGGTTAATGATAACAATGCATCATAAAATCTTCAGAAGGAATGTTTTGCAGACCATTTGTTTTTGTGTGTGTGTGGCAGTTTTTAAGTTATTAGTTTTTAAAATTAGTACTTTTTAATGGAAACAACTTGACCAAAAGTCTGTCACAGAATTTTGAGACCCATTAAAACAAAAGTTTAATGAGAAAAAAAAAAAAAAGATTTACATTTGGGTAAAAAACCAAATATAACCAAAAAACCTATGCATTAAATGATGAAATAATAAAAACATCATTCTTAAGAGGAGCAAAAAAAGGGACACCTGGGTGGCTCAGTCGGTTGGGGTCTGCCTTCAGGGCTCAGGTCATGATCCCAAGGTCCTGGGATTGAGTCCCATATAGGGCTCCTTGCTTGGCGGGAGCCTGCTTCTCCCTCTGCCTGCTCTGCCTGTTCAGCCTGCTGCTCTCTCTCTCTCTGACAAGTAAATAAATAAGATCTTTAAAAAAAGAGAGAGAGAGAGAGAGAAAAGTGAGAGCAAAAAAAGACACAGAAAAGTCCTTGGAAAGGGAAACAGGTCAAGCAAATGGTTGGGGATAGATGGGGAGTTGCTTTGTTTCTTTCCAAGATAGGGAAGAGTACTTTTCTGAAGGCAAGGGAGGTAGCTATGGAGAGAGGCTGATTTATTCCTGGTCTAGTAATACAAACGGAAAGGCAAAGGCCGGAGTGTGAATCAGATAAACAGACAAGCTTTGAACCACCCAGGTATTTTAGAATCATTCATTTCAAAGTTTGCTTAGCTATGGCGGTGGAGGGAGTCGAAAACCTCCTCTGTACTTCAGCATATCCCTGATCTCTCATCCTTCCTTATAGTCCCAAAGATAAAGGTGTTCCTAGCAAACAGATGGCTCCTTCCCTTGAGATCACCAGATACATTTAACTTTGGTGTATGAAAACCAAAAGTTTTCCCCTCTGTAAACAAGGAATTAATAACCTTCTTCCAGTGAGGATAATTAATTGGTGAAATATGCAAAATGTCTATTATAATTATGCTCTACTGAAACTGTTTTACTTAAAACAGGGGTATAGTTAGCAATTCATTAAAAATATTTTTCTTTATAAAAGGAGTCATATCATGATTCACTCTTAAAAATAGAAATTCCCCTGGCATAAATTTTGTTTACAGAGCATTTATTCCTCAGTTCTTATTTAGATTATGGATTCTGCCCTCTTTCTCTAAGAATGGTCCTCTTCACCCGGAATAGCCAGAGGCTATTATTGTTCATGACCCAGCCCCCACATCCATTGATGGCAGCATGAGTTGTCACCTGACTCAAGCTGAGCCAATCAAGGTCTCCCTTTCGGAGAAGCCCAAACTGGGATTCAAAGACAGTTGCTCAGACTTCTCTTTTCACTTATTTGCTTCCTATGCTCTAAAGTTAAATCTGCCATTGTGGTGTGGCCATCTTCATGTACATGGAGTTGCACAGAAGGCTGATTTGTTGGGGGGGAGGAGGGGAGATTAACACAGATCTAAGACAGGACAGATAAAAAGAGAGAAAGCACACCAACAAAGAGTCCTCACCGTGTTTCAGTTTCCTCTTCCTTCTAAGGCCCAAAGAAACTTCCTGTATTTGGTATCTTGAAAATATTTCCTTATGACAAATTTCTCCTTTTTACTTAAGCTAGATCTACTAGTGTAGAGTACTTGCTACAAAATAACCTGAAGAAGACAGATACTATAGCACACCGATGAGAAGAGAAACAAGAAATATTCTCTCAAATCCCAAGAGAGAAGATGTACAACTTTTAAAAATCCAATTTACCCACAAATTCTCAAGTCTATCTCCAATGAAGGAGCCAAGCATAACTATGTAAGTATCAGTCACAATCTGAGACATTACACGGAACCCATGTAATCTTGGTTAGCCAAAAATAAGCTATCTTTGAGCAGGGTGGCTACGTCTTACAGAGAAATTTTCCTCACCCTCACCTCCTCTTCCAAATCATCACTCCCTTCAGGGCTGTTGGGTTTTCTCTTCTCACTCACTTCATCCAACTTTCTCTGTAACTGAATTTTGTGAATCTTCTGGGCCATAGCTATAGTAATTGCTGTGATCACTCCATTTCAGTTAAACAATTGACCCAAGGGAAATCTAATTTGATATTAAAACATCTTACTGGTATGTTTAAATACTGTGTATTTCAATTTTACCTATGAAATACACAGTGGGACCAAAAAATGCTGCCTAAAGCGTTCTTCAACTTTAACTTCTACATACCCCCAATGTCTATAATTTGTCCTTAAGTATATTTGTTCAACAAAGAGATCCCTCCCCGTCCCCGTCTCTCCCTCCATGCCTTCTCTTTCTAAGTAAGGTCTGGAGGCTGCACTTCTTTACCTCTGCACGATGAGAGTTGGTCAAAGGGAAAGCCAGTGTTTTCCCCCCAGCATAGGCAGCTGGTAGTGAGGGAGCACCATCTTTAGGGTGGTCTTACTTTATCCACATTTCTGTCCTCTCAGTTCTTTTGGAAACCTGGTACCCAACAGTGGCTCATGTCTGAATTTGTTGACTTGAAATATGTTTTCTTAAAAAAAAGACACCTATGCTATTCTGGGCCATTGTTGAAATTATAGTAGCTGAAGGACTATGAAGTATTTTATTTGTTTTTTAACAAGGAATTTAGTTTTATTTTCTCTGTTCATTTCCAAAACCACTTAGGACCAATTTAGGAAAACAAAAAACACCTGTGGAAAGAAAAAAGTTAAACTTAAAAAAAAAAAAAAAAAAAGCCTGAGAAGGATTGGTGCCTTAGCTGTAGGGAGCTACAGAAATTCTGATTGGTCCAAAGAATTGAAAAGATACTGGGAAGCTAGAACAGGAGGCAAAAGAATGAGAAATTACTAAGGAAAAGGGTCTGGAAGTGGGCCACAAGGGGAACTAGAGGCGGAGGGGTTGGTCTGGGTGGAGGAGGGGGCCCCCACTGGTAGCCATCTGGTGGGAGCCCAGTGTATCCATGGGGGGCATCCGTGGAGGAGGGCCATGCATCCCATGTAGAGGCATAGACCTGGATGACGCATGGAAGAACCAAACGGAGGCCACTGGTGGGGGAAGGGAGGCATGCCCATTAGAGGAGGTCCTAGATGAGGCACTCCAGGTGGGGGTTGGGGTGATGGCTGCCCCCCAGAGCCTGATGGCCTGGAATGGGGATATCCTGACCCACGAGGGCCATGGTAGGCCAGCTGCATCTGAGACATCCCTGGATGGGGCATTGCATACAGTGAGAATTGGTGAGGATGTGAGTATCCATGTCCAGGATGTCCAGACCCTGCATTCCTGATGATGGTGGGCCATGTCCTCCAGCCCCAGGAGACACAGGTAATGGGGGCCTAGCTGGGGGTATCCCAGGTAGAAGGTTTCCAGGAGGCAGCACTGGGGGTGGGAGAGACCGAGGAAGAGGGCTACCTGATGGAGGAAG